TGCATTTATTCTAGATTTCTGATTGCTGGTGTGATGTATGAAAATCAGTGGTCACAGTAATTTGAAAAGCGCGATAATACAATTTTTTAAAAATAAATTCTACAAGTATATAGAATTAATTTAAAAAAAAATTTGATTAAATTTGCTTAAATTATGTTGAGTTATTTTTGTTCAAGATTTAAAAAAATTTACTTAGAAAAAATTTGGTGCGTTTCTACTGACTCACCCCCATATATAGGACACTGTTATCTGAATTACACTTAATGGTTGATGTTATTACCGTCGTGGAACTGGGGTCGATTAAAATGAATGTAAAACGCTTGAACATTGTCAAAATCTCAATTAAAGGGAAAATCTTGCCGGAACAGATGACATTGATTACAAAATTACTGAGCATAATCCTGTAAGAATTGGGATTGGTGTTTAAATGGATGAAAATTAGGCGTTCATTTACTCCCAGGCATAAATCACCTGGAAGAATTGGAATTGGAGTTGACATGGATGAATATAAAGTGTTCATTCACACCCGGGTATGAAATTGGAATTGGTATTTTAGAATTGAGTTGATGAAAATAAGGCGTTTATTCATACCCAGGTATGATCCTCAGAAAAATTGTAATTGGGGTTGAAATGGGTGAAAATAAGGTGTTCATTATGATCCCTGAAAGAATCGGAATTGGAGTTGAAATAGGTGAAAATAAGGCACTCATTTACTCCCAGGCAAAATCACCTGGAAGAATTGGAATTAGTGTTTAAGTGGGTGAAAATAAGGCGTTCATTCATACCCGGGTATGATCGCCGAAAGAATTGGAGACACCCAGGTTCTAAAAATTAATAGACTTTTCGGTGCATAAGTTAAAATTTATTTTATGTTTTATTGCGTACCATTTTTATTTTATCTAAACATATTTATTTTATGTTTTATTGCGTACCATTTTTATTTTATCTAAACATATTTATTTTAAAGTTTAAAGATTTCATACAATCAAAGGTTAGCAAACTTAAAGTATATGAAATTAAAAGACTTATATAATACGTCGTCAGCTTAGCGTCAATCATATGACCCTAAAAAGACTATAGTAGAGCTTGGATCCGGTTATCCGTTGGATGCAAATTTAATAATAAAATCCGTCGGATATCCGTTAAATTTAATATGAAAACGGATGACCGGATCCAAGCTCTAGACTATAGAGATGTTGTAAGTGGGAATGGAATTTCCTAGTTAAATTAGGGTTAGGGTGTACATATGATAAAATCATCCCCAAAAAACGGGGGTTTTATATATAAATTCCGAATCCACTTACAACAGAGATACATAGAGTTCAAAATTATTATGAGATTTATTAAGTGAAGTAAGTTAAAATTCATTTTATGTATTATTGCGTACAATTTTATTTTATTTAAGAACATATTTATTTTAAATTTAAAGATCTCATACAACCAAAAGGTGTTGAACTTAAAAGTATGTGAACTAACTCAAGACACTGCAATAAATGAATGCAACCGATATAGCACGTCGCCAGCTTGGTGTTAAACATGCGACCTTCAGAGACAACACAAAGTGAGTGAAATAAGGATATCTGATGTTTGTATTAAAATGAACTATGAAAATATAATTGGGTGGGCCCCTTTTAACAGACTGGTTAGCATTCAAACGATTGGTGAAGGGATTTGACTCAGCGTTTCCTGCAACATGACTAAGAATAATTTTAAGAGGAGGAATACAATATATATTTAATATCATCGTCTTTGTCAAGATGTACAAGAAACGTTATGTTTAGGGTTTACATTGGTATATAATTCTATTCACTTTTTTTATTTTTTTGTTGTAAATTTTTATTAAATTTATTACTAATGCTCTAACAACACATATTTGAATAATTAAAATTATTAATAAAAAAAATATTGTTTTATATAAAGACAAAAAAATTGAGCTTTTGTTCTATTGTTCTATTTGCCAACACTGATCTCCAATCAAAATTTTGGTAAAAATAATGATTGCCCTAAATTGCAGAGACCCCAAATCTTATTGGTTAATACCGTATTCTACCATAAATAAGCATCATCCTCATTTTTTTTTAAATGTCAGATTAGCGGAAATTGTAATAAGTTCTTTAGCCAAGTTATTCCCACTAATCTGACATTTAAAAAAATGGGGTAGAGGGGATGGTGCTTATTTACGGTAGAATATGGTATTATTTTTTTTATGAAGTAATGGAAGGCTCATCTACACAAATTCTGATCGACCAAATTAAAAATTATAGTAAATCCAATACTTTTTTAACATTTCGTAAAATTTGTAAATGATTAATTGTTTAATTATTTTTTTATCTTGCTCACGTGAAATTTGAAACGTTTATTCAAAAAGAAATTTGATCTTTATTATTTACTTCGCTTTAAAAACTAAAAAAACTCACTAATAAAAGTTGGAGGAACACTTGATCTCACTAGATCAACGTTTATATGAAAGTTAAGCATCCAGAAATAATCCGACAAAATTTTAGACAGCTTGGATTATAAAAATTTAACTATGTCTTATTTAGATAAAATTTTATTTAAACTCATATAAAAAGCACATGTAACAATACTTTTAATATAAAATAGATAACCAATCAAAACTATGCTAGCTCTAACAAGAGAATAGCTTGAATATTTATCTGAGACAATGGACATCGTATATGACACGTTTTCTAGATTTCCTAAGGTAATCGATTTTCATTGGGATGATTATCTTCGACCATATAACCATCAACCGCACCATTCATATTACTACTTGCAAGGAGTTTTTCTAAAAACGCGGCTCTTTCTTTCAATGATTTAATCTCAGTTAAAGATTCAGTATACAATGCTTCGAATTTTGAAGCTTTAGTTTCCAAATCA